ACATACCGATTTTATATGTACTTCGTAAACATTTGCCAATTTACTGTTGAACGTTACCTTGATACTTTTTCGAAATTTGACTACGGCTATAATACACGATTATACTCTTCACAAGTGCCTTCTGATTTTACGTTGTGGGCGTCGAGTAGCCACAACGTCTGCGCACATTGATAAACGTGAAGAAGTACTAGGAAATACGTGTACGCTCATTTAGTCAAATAGAACACGCAACAAATTGGTGAACCCGACGATAACTTGCTGACTCCGACGACGACAACTTTTTGACCTCAACGCGTCGTACACTTGCTGGATTATTAAAACTCTAGCTTTCGCGGATCTATATATTTATTAAACAATTCGAACTCACGCGGATCTATATATTTATTAAACAATTCGAACTCATTTTTGTGTTTGCTCATAGCACAACCTGCAGTAATTTGTGGTAAGCACCTGCATTGCATTTTTCTGTTTTGCCATATTCTTATTGTGCACAAATTTTGCCATTTTCCTACTCTTAAACCATTTTTTTACGAATTGTAACATGTCTTCCAATACCTCTGATAACTTAGAGCTGGGATCTGTTAGTACTATTTCTCTTACTGTACCAGTTTTTAAGCCCAGAGACCCTCATCTTTGGTTTGCTCGACTGGAACATTATTTGGCTAGCAATAAGCTAACGTCACAGACAGCTAAATTCTGCATTTTGAGTACAGTACTACCAGACGAAGTCGCCGAGCAGGTACGGCAATACATCGTTCATCCCAGCACAGAAGCACCTTACGACAAGTTGAAGGAAGAGGTACTGCGATGCACTTCGCTTTCAGATAGGCAAGCACTCGATCGCCTGTTAAGCAATGTTGAGTTAGATGATAAAACCCCATCTCAACTCATGAGGCATATGCAAAGCCTAGTTGCCGGAAGAGAAATCGATAAACGTCTCTTTTACCAAATATGGCTACGAAGACTTCCCGCAAACATCCAGCAGGTTCTTGCTTTCGGAGATGACGACATTGACATAGAAAGGCTCACCGAAATCGCGGATCGCATGTACGAGAGGTCAACACCTCAATCTGTCGCTTCCACCAGCAGAATACCAGACACTCACGATAGAATACAGACTCTAGAACACAAAGTCGACACCTTACTGAGTCAGTTAGCGAAACTGACCACACGCACACAACCAAGCCGTTCTAGAAGCTCGTCTCGCCGACGTCTTTCTCGATCCCCTAGCACGTCACGACATCGCGCTAATATTTGCTGGTATCACCGTAGTTATGGAAGCAAAGCACGACGGTGCCGTTCACCTTGCAATTTTTAGACTAAACCAAAAGATATATCGTCATGTGTAAAAAATACTGTTGGCAACCTACGATCTAACAGTCGTTTGTTTTATGTAACAGATAAAAATACCGGTACTACATTCTTAGTTGACACAGGAGCAGAGGTGAGTGTTCTCCCTCCGTCTACACAGGAACGTCAACATCCTGACCCAGCAGTTACGCTCCAAGCTGTTAATCAGTCCAGTATTGTTACATATGGAACTAAACGAATGACTTTAGATTTTGGTTTAAAGAATACCTACACTTGGTCTTTCATCATTGCAGACGTCCCATCCCCAATCCTTGGTATTGATTTTCTGCAGCAACACAAACTGTTAGTTGATCCGATAAGCCCCAAGCTAATAGATTCGCTTAATAAAACGTACATTGCTGGTACGATTAGCCGTGCATCATCACTGAACTTGATGGTCACACGCACACCAGCATCTCCATATACCAATTTGGTAAATCAGTTTCCTGACCTTTTACAACCTTCTTTTCGAGGAACAGAACAGAAGCATCATGTGGTTCATCATATTAAAACCACTGGACCACCAGTTTTTGCACGTCCACGACGCCTTGACCCATATCGACTTAAAATTGCCAAAACAGAGTTCGATAAAATGCTAGAGCTTGGTATTATTCGACCGTCCAACAGCTCTTGGTCTTCACCGCTTCACATGGTACCCAAAAAGTCTTCTGGTGAAATACGGCCGTGTGGTGATTATCGAGCTTTAAACAAGCAAACGGTACCTGATAGATACCCAATACCACACATCCACGATTTTGCTAGCAACTTACCAAATGTTAAAGTTTTCTCTAAAATCGATCTGGTCCGAGCGTATCATCATATCCCCATCCACCCGGATGACGTTCCGAAAACTGCCATTACCACACCATTCGGTTTATATGAATTCGTACGCATGCCATTCGGACTTATGAACGCCGCTCAGACATTCCAACGCCTAATTGACCAAGTACTCCGAGGTCTCCCTTTCGTCTACGCATACATCGATGACTTACTAATTGCAAGTGCAGACGAAGCCGAGCATTTGAAACATGTGAAGACAGTGTTTGAAAGACTGAACCAATACGGAATGACTATCAACTTAGACAAATGCGAATTTGGTAAGACCTCACTGAAATTTCTCGGTCATTTAATCGATAGCCAAGGAATCAGACCAGTCCCTGATGACGTACAAGCTATCAAAGATTATCCATTACCAGATTCTTTTAAGAAATTACGACGATTTTTGGGTCTCGTTAATTTTTACCGGCGTTTTATACCGAACTGTGCCAAAGCTTTACAACCATTAACCGATTGCTTACGTGGACATAGTCGTTCATTCCATTTGCCCGCAGAAGCTGTTAAAGCATTCGAAAATGTCAAACAATTGTTAAATGACAAGACGCTCTTGGTCAGACGTCAAAATGACGCTCCTCTGTCTCTCATGACGGACGCTTCAGACGTTGCCATCGGGGCAGTTTTACAACAACAGGTACACGGCGAATGGCAACCCCCAGCAGCTATGAGACATACAGTATTCGAGAAGTTACATAACTTGTCTCATCCCGGTGTCAGCGCTACTATCAAACTAATAAAAGAAAGATTTATATGGCCGAACATTAATAGCGATGTTAAGAAGTGGACACGAAATTGCTTGTCTTGTCAAAGAGTCAAAATCAACCGTCATACCAATGCACCACTTGGTCGCTTTCCTAACCCTGACTCTAGATTTGAACATATACATGTAGACATAGTTGGTCCACTACCTCCTTCCAATGGTTGCAACTACATTCTAACTTGCATCGATAGATTCACTCGTTGGCCTGTAGCAGTTCCAATAGCCGATGTCTCAGCTGAAACGGTAGCTAAAGCTTTGCTCGAAAACTGGATAGCTAATTTTGGTGTCCCATCCATTATCACTACGGACAGAGGTGCTCAGTTTGAAAGCCGACTTTTTCAACAGCTAACTGAATTACTGGGCATCAAACGAATACGAACAACCGCCTACCATCCTAGTTCCAACGGCATGGTTGAACGCCTTCATCGACAACTCAGAGCTGCGCTCGCTGCTTCTTTGACTCAAAACGACTGGTCAACCAAACTCCCACTGGTACTGCTTGGTATACGATCTGCTCTAAAGAAAGATATTGGCTGCTGTGTTTCCGAACTAGTCTATGGAACAACATTACGACTACCAGGAGAATTTTTCACCCCAGGTAACCAAGTTCCACAAGATATGACTGGTTATGTGCACCAGCTAAAACAACACATGAACGAGCTCAAGATATCACTTCCACGCCAGCAGGAACGAACGTCATACATCCCACCACAACTGACAGATTGCACTCACGTCTTCGTCAGGAGAGAGGGTGTACAACGACCACTTCAACCCGCTTATGATGGCCCATTCAAAGTTCTAAATAGAAACGATAAAGTTATCACGATAGAACGACTGAATAAAGCAGAAGCCATCAGTGTCGACAGAGTCAAACCAGCGTTCATCGACGATTTCGAAGACAGCGATAAAGATCAGCTGAACGACGTGCCACCATCTACATCCACGCAAGCTTCAACGTCGCCAGAGAAACCTATGAAAACTACACGCTCTGGTAGGAGAGTTCATTGGCCTAAACGTTATGTGCAAATCATCAAAATATAACTTATTACGAATTTTCATTTTTATTATCTTTATTCGTAATTGTCATTTGACTACACATTTAACTGATTAATATCTTCATACGTCAATCACGTCACTACTATGTTAACATTGATATTTCCTGTATTATTACATTTAATCATATAGCGCTTAATATTCACGTATCGTTTCCGTATACAGACTACAGATCCCCGGCCGATTGTATCATTCCTTATATATTCTACCACGATCATCAATCCTATTTTTTCTTTTATTATCACATTTATTATCGGCCTTATTGACCGCATTAAATTGCTCATTTTTTCAGCTTAATAAATCGCTTTCTGTGTACTGTCGCTGTTACGTATTACGCTGATGCATGTTATTGTCGAACACTTAAATGTATTTTTTTTATATTTCAGTGTTCTGGTGGGGGAATTATGTAGTACCCCTGTACCAACTATAAACATACGTTTTTAATCTAATTTGCATACTCATATTATATGTTTACACATACCGATTTTATATGTACTTCGTAAACATTTGCCAATTTACTGTTGAACGTTACCTTGATACTTTTTCGAAATTTGACTACGGCTATAATACACGATTATACTCTTCACAAGTGCCTTCTGATTTTACGTTGTGGGCGTCGAGTAGCCACAACGTCTGCGCACATTGATAAACGTGAAGAAGTACTAGGAAATACGTGTACGCTCATTTAGTCAAATAGAACACGCAACGTATGAATAAGGATCCAACAAGAAAAAAGAGAGATGATAGATATTATTTTTGGAATATGAGAATTTGAGTCGAAAGAGTGACAAACAGATCATGGGTAAAGGAAAACACACAACTTTCAGACTAGTTAGGGTCCAGTTTAGCGCAACATTGGCCTTCACTCAACTAATAAGTTGGCTAGGCATTACGCATGGATGTTGTTCATAATTTTCCTTTTCACTGCGAACTGAGAACCCTTATCTAACTTTCAAGAAACGAGGTCATATCGGCTCATGCTATCAAAATGCATTGGCTATTGATGCGAAACATATTGCCGGGAATTCAAACGAAACGATACATTGGAAAAGCAAATGACTGGAAAGACTGCAGGTACGTCTTGTGTTGTTGTGCTAGCGTATTGCATCAAAACCACCATTTTTCAAGTAGGACTTGAAAATGACTTGAGCCGAAATAATTAACAATATTAATGTTCAGTCAGTTGTTAAATTAACAAGAAAATGGTTATTTCTCATATAGCATATGTGATATTAGCAGATAAGCCTCAGCACTCTAAAGGTATCCTCCAGGTATAGTGTTAATGAATACTGAATGGAAAACGTGTTCGTTGTCCTGACGAAATAGTATTAATGGTTTTACTTCAAATACTTAAAAATGAAGTATTAATACTTAACACAGTGGATTTCTCAATATATACCATACTGCATCTGTTGTTCTCTTCACACTAAGTAGGAGGGGGAGAAATGACTACGTAGCTTAATGATACCCAGTAACAATGACAGTAGTATATAGATGCAAGAATAAATTGTAAAATTATAGAATTACTGACAAAATATAATAATGATTAGAAGGATGAAAAGAGTCACTTATTTACTTATTTTCAGTAAGTTGGAATTCTCATGTCTAACACTCCTCGCGACTAAAAGTATGTGCCACATGAAGTACCATTGAGTTTTCATATTTAATCGTGTAGGCATAACCGGATGAGATGCCAGTGGAGAGCTGCAAAAAAGTTAAAAATAAGGAGGGTACTTAAATTTCACCTATATGACTTTTGCCACTACTTGGCATCATTTCAAGTGTCTGTCTACAACAACATTAACGAGTTGGTTAATAAGCACACAACTCACCGTACTGACAGCGTTTAATGCCCTTCGTGTTTAAATAGTCCTGAAAAAATTTAGGGAAAGCAGTAAAGAGGAAGAAAAAAGATTTAAAATGCTAGAATTAGCAAGCTGTAAAAGTACATCCTGAGGAATCCCAGATTGCCTTAACTTCATAATGTAGAAAGTTAGACGAAATATTTATTTAGAGATTTGGGACAAGCGGAAAAGATCGAAAGGAAGACTCAATTTAAAAAGTTTAAAACGAATTCATTTTTATTGCACTGCCCTCTATGTCACAAGCAATACTGGTACAAATGAGTTCATATAAATCTCGTTTTTTTTCTGAAAGTGAAAGACGTTTATATGACCATAAGTACTCTAGTAAATTTAGATTGTGTCTCATACGTCTGTAAAGGGTGTTTCGTTTCTTCTCCTTCTCTTGACTTGTACGTTGACTTCTAGAAACGCTTTTAACTATTTTACTAAAGTCCGTGGTGATCTCAGCAACTTCTCCTTAGTTCTCTCCATAGAATGTAAATCTCCTTAGCATCAAAACTGCGACAGACATAGGCGTTTACTTGACGGCAAAGCGAAACTCATATTTAATCTCTTCGAAGTAACCATGTTTTGGGAAATTGTGTTAACAAACAGTTAGGTATTATTTATGTTTGTTGAAGCTGGGTAAAAACACTTGATGAATGAAGTGAAGTCATTTCCCGTCAATGAGCAAATAGCTGGTTAAGTAAACCTGTTTCTTATCATGCCATCATCCCTAGTTGTCTGTAAACTCAACCCAGCCTTTTTTACATTAGAGTTTTGTTCCGTTGGTGTTTGTAGTTGTTATTAGGTTATAGTACATAATAATTTTGAAGTAACCAGTGAGTGACACTATCAGAATTCTTGGTTAACAATTCATTAAGCTTTTGAGCTGATAGACTACAGCACATTTTTTTTCAATTCTAGTGTCTTTACACAATGCTAATCACGACATAGGCTGTAGAGCTTTCATTGCATTACCATCAACTGTGAAATCATGGCAAATATAGTATTATCATCGTTATTAAAACACCAACGATGCATTTGGGGCACCAGGAGAGGTACCGCATAGATTTTCATGATTAGTGCGAGGGCTGTCATACTGCTTGGATGCCCAGACTGAATCAGGTGATTGTCTTAATGAGCTACACTGCGTTCCCGTAATGTCTGATCAGCAGGGCAGTGGAGCAGCATCAGGAGCCAGATTCCTGTGGATCCCGGCGACCAAAACAAGTTTGTACGCCATTCGGTGCTTACACCATAGGTTTGGAATCAGGATTTTCCAGCTTTCCTGGGTAGACCGACATGTCCACCAGTTTTAAGCACCAGTCGGTTGCATTCGCCCTTTCATTTAGGTGAGGGGAACACCGTCGTGTGAAGGCAGAACTTAATAGGACTTTCCTGGCAGAGGCTATGCACGGGTGGCCACGTGAGAGCAATTTAAGAGAAAGACCGAAGTCTATCCACTCTGTCGCATCAGGTCATTTATGGGGCAACTATAAAGGAGGTAGTACTTAGTGAAACTAAGAAACTATTACACCTATCTCCCAGGTCTTCTGCGTCACAAATTTATTACTTTTAGCAGTGTTTTCACCGACTCAAGTGGTTTGTTTCAGTGGTTGGTTATTGTTCATGTATTCATCTTTTACAACTACATAAACGACCATTAGTTGTATTAGTTAAGACGGTTTTTATCCAGTCTGATTTTCAATTCCTTCTCTTCAGTGTGCTTGAAATAATTTCGGCCACAGTCCTACTTTTAGTCATTGACTGACTCGCTTTCTCTATTCACCTGTAGGTATTTGACTGCCTACAGATGTTTCTAGCGGTAGTTACCTCTTCCACCTACCTATACAGCGTCATTCAAACTACAGGCGGTATGAATGAGGGAATCTACTTCACTAATGTGCTTCTACATGGTCCAGAGACTTGGCGAACAAGAGCATTTCTAATTGGCAGCTGGGGATCCCCATCAACAACTGTCATCACTGCCTCTGTACTGAAGATCAAATGACCAGAAAGGTTTAGCGAGTGACAAGAAGCTCAAGAAACAGACCAATCAAAAACCTATCGCCCTATAAATTTGCGGAAAGAAATAGAGGTAGATTAGACGCACAATAAAGAGACTGTTAAATGATATCATGTACCACACAGCACACGAGTGTAACCCAGATGAAAATCGACAGGTTGTGTGAAGGAGAAATGAAAGTTTAATGGGTAGTCATGGAGCCATCTGTGAAGGTGGTAACAGAGATGGAAGTAGAATGATGTGCCGTTGATGTTCTATATTGCACTCAGAACCCTAAGGAATATAATAGTAATAATAATAAGGGATGTATCTTTTCACCATACAGAAAACTTGCACATTTTTATTTTAGTAGTAATGTCTTGCCTATAAGATTTCTTTTATAAACTTTGGCTTTCCTAACGTATTTTATTTGTTTACAGCTTCTGTTCAAATGGTCTGTGTCTCGTAAATTGTACAGATGACATATTTAGGCGGAATTGGTTGTGCACTTGTTGGACTAGGCCCGTGTCTAGTTCTTTTCCTTTTTACAATAGTCAGTAGTCCTATAAAAGTTATTCTCCTTACAGCAAGGTAAATCACATTTTATTTTACTTTATGACTGTCTGTCTGTATTACTGAGCATTAATTCAGAATTATATTTTGTAATTTTTTAACTGAATTAGATTAAGAAGTAATTCCATACTAGTTTGTTTATTAGATGTATCACACAGTGAAGAAACAGTATTATTTACCGGATGACGTTTCGCTTCGTTGTTCATGATCATATCATATCGAAACTTGAATTTCATAGTTTTCTTTGTTCTCTCCTATTTGTCGTCGTAGGGTTAAGTAGGATTTTCCAGATGTCCGGCTGGACAGGTGTTGAATCATTCCTGTTACATGTATTTGCAGCTGATTCGATAGACAAAGCTTCTGTTATCAATCTCTCCCTCCACCCTGTGACATTAGATTTTAAAACTGTCATCTTATCCCATCCCATCCTATTGTATGGTTGTGTGCAATTGCGTGTAGTGAGTGGTATAGCTGAACTGTTCTCTAGATTTGTCTTATTCGTGTCAACTAATCTAGATTTTGCTGCTAGGTTTTATTCTCGGCTAGTTTGATTGCCCCTGTTCTATTAGTTTGACCTATGTATTTGACCTGACAATCATTGAAGCAGGATATTAGATAAACTAAATTGTTTTGTTTTTTTGGCTCCATTGGCAGGATCCTTTAACAGACAAAGTTTGTTTCTAATTGAGTTTGAGGGTTTCACTGTCAGCCACTTTTATTTCTGCCTTGTTAAGAATTCTCAGACTAGTGGAGCACAAAAACCAAGCAGCAAAATCTAGAATGGTTGACCCAAATAAGTTAAGAAATCTAGAGAATAGTTCAGCTATACCACTGACTACACGCAATCGCACACAACCATACAATAGGATGGGATGGGATAAGATGACAGTTTTAAAATCTAATGTCACAGGGTGGAGGGAGAGTGAGAGACACACAACTCAAGTTATGAAGTTGTGTGATTATAATTGATATGATTATGAACAATAAACTTTGTTGGAAACACCATCCAGTAAATAATACTGTTTCACTCTCTGTGTGTGATATATCTAATAAACAAAATAATGTGATGCAACTCCTCATATAAGTGAAGTGATCAGCGCGCTCCACCAACCACTTCACTCCCTATTTCTAAGCTAGGAGTGAATCGATGTAGTCCAGTCCTGTAGTATTATCTTACATTTGACAGGAGCGTGCGAGTGCCATGCCAAACATTCGAAGATTGCCGCTCAGCTGAAGGTGTTCAGGAGACTCCGCTCTGGTTTTTGTCAGCGTCTTTATCTAGTTGAGAGGACTACATCATCTGCATATTCTAAGTCAACGAGATAATTCCCTGATGGTAACAAGTCAATCCCTGAATCGTTGAAGTCAGTTAGGCTTATGTCCATCAATACATCCATGATGAAATTAAACATAAATGGTGACAGTCGGCATCTCTAATAGAGACACCACTTCAGATGACAACTCTCTTTAGGCTTTCACCTGACTGGCTGCATGAGTTCAAGCAGAGTGCCTTGATCAGGACGATAGAGGATATGACTAATGGATAGAGAGACAGAAGCTGAAGACTTGGTGAGTCAAAGGTTAATTGACGTATTAGTCAAAGGTCAGTAAAGATTTCTGTTCCTTTTTGGAACATATATCAAAGGTTAGTGTCATCCGATTATCAATGTTATTCATGCTTACACTTTCTATGCTAACTAACCAATTATTAAAATAGTTCATATTTATTCTTATTATAATTACTATAATTTCATTTTTTTCTGTTTAAAAATTTTTTTTATATAACTGAATCTAGTGGCTTTTTCTGGTTACTATCATTACTCACAACATCACTGATATGGTTTATTGCTACTCCTCTTCGTGGATACCTTGCATTTGGAATTCTTATCGGTGTATTAGTACAAGAAGTGCTAAGATTTCTCTTCTTTTTATTAATTATGTAAGTTTCATCAAATTCTGCTGTTTTTTCTTCCTTTTGTGCGTCGGTGGCACAGTGGTTAGGACTCTCGCCGACAGTGCACATGGTCCGGGATTCGATCACCTGCCGACGCACACCCGATATCTATGGTTGGCCTGCAAAATTTGGGCTACCGATATCGCATGCTGAAAATTCCATACTTGTACTGAAAATACGGTGTGGCATCAAGCTGTAATCAAAAATAAAAATATAAATAGTTGAATTGTTTTAATCTTCAAAATGCCGATCAATATTATTAGGGATTTATTCATTTGTTTCAAGTCTGACCATAGATTAATGTCAGTTAGGCGGAACTGTCGGGTTAACATCACGAATTAGTAGAAGTTAGAATGCCGTGAACCATTGGATCAGATGGTGGAGTGGCTGAGAATGGTCTGTGAGCTGGCCTTGTGATGACTGAGATGATCCCGCAGTCGAATCCCTCTGATTGGCGAGTTGCGTACTGTTGAAGAGTCCCAAACTAAGATACTACAATTGTCCTCAATACTCCCTGCTGATTTTCAGCGGTTCTCTAAGTGATATCGATCTGTGATCACACTTAAAAATGAATTTGTTGTTCAGTATAACCCAGGAGTTATAGACTGATGTGTGTTTCAATAAAGCGAAAATATTCATTCAGACATTTATAAAACACAAAATAATTGAGTGAGCAAAGAATATCCTTTTCGATAATTTCCTCCTCTTCTGGCTCTACAGTTATATATAAGCATGTTTATATACATAGAATATTCTAGATTAGTAGTCAATAACAATATGCCTAGCCATCGCCTCCCCCGACGGGCATTACTAGATGATTTAGGTGCAGGTTGGAAAAGAGTAAGTGGTGGCCAAACAAAAACATGGCATCAATCCATGAAATCCCTGACAGTTAAACTGAGTTAGGTAGGGAGATGCAGACTTCCGGGTTGGGGCCCTCGGGACTCTAAGAATCAATGGCTGGAGACAATAGGTGACATGGCTCAAAATCGTTGTCAGTGGCGCAAATGTATTCAGTCTCTTTAACCTTTCATATTCCTTTCTACCATTACTCATTCTGTTTCACTCTTATACTTATCTAAATTCTATTGATTCTCTTCTCTCATTTTCCTGTCTACCTTTGTGTGCTCTTTGGAACGTGGCAACTCGGACTGCTTTACCTCGGTGCCAAGTTCTATGTTGAATCCAGCAGCAGCAACAATATGAGTGCCTTTTATATAATATCGATTTGTGAAGTAAGATCACTATGGAATTACAGTTCATTAAAGATGCTTAAATAATAATAATAAAGATATAGTAACAAATAGAATATCAAGTAAAATTAAAGAAATTTCTACAGTAAACTCAGGATCATTCAAACCTAGATGGCCAAGGTAAGGATAATGTCTGAACTAGCTTCTTTTGGACGCACAGATTAGGCTTCTTAATATGGTGGATCCCAACAACCGGCCTCAGCAATATTTAGTAAACGAACTCTTAAGGGGAAATTAAGATTTGTTGGTTTACGGTAAATGACTCTGAAAGCCTGGTTAACATCAATCTTGTGTTCTCTATCCACAAGATGAAATAGAATAGCGCTGCGAATAGATATTGTTTGTCCTTTACTTAACCACGCAGGGTGATCTTACTTCACAAATCGATATTATTTAAAAACACTAATATTGTTGTTGACTACTATTCTAGAATATTCTATGTATATAAACATTGTAGAGCCAGTAGAGAAAATTATTGAAAAGGATATTCTTTGCTCAATTATAACGTATGTTTGTTTATGATACTTAAATGTCATTACCTGGTTGGAGGTAGTCGGCAGGAAGTCTTGCGTGACCTAGGTTTCGTGCTAGTTGGCACTCACCAGTCAACCAGCAAGGCGTATGTGCAACCTGTCGATTGCGTCCAATCATCTAATATATCATCGAATCAATGTGCACTGTGATGGCGAGCTACCTAGTGGCATGGTGGCCGCATTGCAAACTTGACTGACTGATATAATTCAGTCTGCACCAAACAAAGGACTAGCTAGACACATCACACTAATTACTGACTAGTCTCTAATCAAAAATATCAAGTACAGTCCTACGAGAAGTCAATGGTGAGTCCGAATAGGACCGTGGTAACGTCTCTGACTGCAGCACTGGGTGACGCGGGTTCGCATCTCAGAAGAGGCATGAGTTCGTTCAAGGTTGCAGATGCGCCTCGCTAACTGGTGTGTCAACAAGCATAAAACGTAGGTCAGGTTGGACTTCCTGTGGCTGATTGCCTAGATGTTAAATTACTATAATCCCCATTAAGATTTAAAAAACAAAGATTTCTGAGAAGGGAATTTCACTTTTTGACGAATTCATCATTTTGATACCTATGCAATCGTATTTTATTAGTCTGAAGAGCAGTATTCTTGTACGCGCTATCAAGAGACTGAATTTTTACAGAAAGGAAGGGGATGATGACGCGTCCATCATATTTGAGGAGAACTGTTAGCTGACTTAGGGTCGATCAGGTTGGAAAAGAGAGAGCTAGTGGTGGTCAAACGAAAACATAGCTTCATCCGTCAATGAAATCCACAGAAGTTAGTTTATGCCAGCCAGCCTGCCACGTAGGGAGGTGTAAACTTCCTGACTGGTTGGGGTCCTCGGGTTCGGTGTTCTCAATAGGTGGCGCAGATGCATCCACTCCTTGTGATTTATAATATCCAATAAAAGTCCATTGTTCTCCTATATTAATATTCTTTCTGCGTCACTCACACTTCTGTTTATTATCTCTCTCTTTTGAATCTGTCTTTACTGTCTTCTCTTGCTTTGTGTGCTACATTGAGGGACTGTGGCAACTCGAACTGCTGCACATCTGTGCAAAGTTCCATGTTGAAACCAGCGAGTCAGTCATACGACAACTGTGATTTGAAGGACATCTTGAAGGAGTACTGATTGACAGCCAAGCTGTTATATTATTTACATTAGAATAAGAAATAGGTAGCTAAATATCCTTCCTTCATGTGCAACTCACCACAAGGTTGGCTGATGGATCGTTAAAAAGATCGATTTACGGAAAGTCAACGTGGACTGACGATTTTCTAGTTTTGTTCTTGGTTTTTCTCCTTATGCTGAAGTGCGGTAGATTTCCACGCGAATTTCAAAGAAAAGCTGACTGACTGCTTTCAACATAGAACTTTGCAAAGATGTGCAACAGTTCTAGTTGCTACTCTCCCTCCATATAGCACACAAAGCAAGAGAAGACAGTAAAGACAGATTCAAGAGAGAGAGATAATGAACAGAAGTGTGAGTGAGGCAGAAAGAATATTAATATAGGGGAACAATGGAATTTTATTGGATGTTAAAAATCACAAGGAGTGGATGCATGTGCGCTAGCTATCGAGAACACCGAACTCGAGGACCCCAACCAGTCAGGCAGTCTACACCTCCCAACGTGGTTGGCTTAAACCAACTGTTATGGATTTCATTGACTGATAAAGCCTTGTTTTCATTTGACCACTACTAGCTCTCTCCTTTCCAACCTGATCAATCCTGTCAGTCAGTTAACATTGCTTGTTGTTGAGGAATGCGATGGATAGCTAATGATGCATGCGTCCTAACCATCTCAATCGGTGTAACTTCACAACCTCGTCGATTGATTTCTCCTCCCACCTACCTATCACTCGACGCGTTAGAAGGTATGCAGGTATCTTTCGCCCTTCTGATTCTATCTGGCGTCGACATCTTTATCTGTACCGCATGTAGTTAAAGTGATGCTACCCTGGATAAGTTAAAGAAGCGACTTCCTACAAATTTCTCCTGTTGATACTGATTGGTGCTTGTTGTTGATTGGTTGGTTATCTTCATCACCCCTCCGTCTTCTCTATATTCACTTAAAGTTCTATCTTCTCTGCCGGCTTCTTCTGTCAACCAGTTAGTTTTCACCTGTAGCTCTTCAACTTTGCGTCACATTAGACATTAATCATCAGCGAGATCCTAATCTTCTGTAGTCTTCTTGTCGGCGCAACGAATTCCAGTCTTCTTATCTCCCCCACCGCCCGTCGCATGACCCAGTCCTCCAATAATAGTAATAATGATAATTATTTACTGCTATTTCGAATTCCAGAACTCAATTGTATTAATAATTATTTCCTTTTTTATGTTTTAATTTTTCCCCTCTATAGTAAAGCTGAATCCGGTCTTCAAATCATTGTCAGTAGTTCAAATCCCCGAAGGTCACAGCCTTCTTCACGAAGACAATCTCATCTGTGTGAAAATATTACCATTAGTAATATTAATACTACTACTGCTAATAATAACAATAATAATGATAACACCACTGAAGGTGAAACAATAGATCTATTAAGAAATAGAGTCATATCACCAACTCCTTGTATAACATCCGTTGCTAATGATCCTGCAGGCGATACCAATAGTCATAACAATAATAATGATGGCAATTGTAATTGCAGTGTTGCTGGCAGTCGTCTAGCCCTTGATCATCATATCATCGCATATGTATCCGGTTTAGGCTACGGGTTAATGAGTTGTATAACTCAACTGCTACGTATATTGATTGATTCCTTTGGACCTGGAATTTTAATGCATACCACATGGGATTCGAAAACATTCTTCCTGACAGCATGTAAGTTTTACAATTATATGTGTAGAACAAGTGTGTTTGCTTTGTAGACGTTTTCATTGAAATCCAGTAGAGGGAGAGAGAGAGTTGTGTTGGAGAAGATTTGTAACTCAGGTGGATAATTTTGATGTAGTTGTGTTCTCTGAGCGCTGGTAGATGGCTTATTTGTGAAGCTTTTACTAATCCCCCCCCCCTACTAGGCAACGTCTTCAGCGCATACACTTCAATTTGAATTGAAGTGGGCTTTTAGATTTCTCCACGAGTTTATTAGTCATTTCTCCTGGTGGGTGACCTTGAACGTGATTAATTGCTTCGCACCCTCTAGGCAACTTGTATTGACATTTGTGCTGATCGTTTCCTTGACGTGAGGTTTTACCGTTTGTGTATGAGATTTCCTTCTTAACGATTGGTAAGGAGAATTGAAGAAAGATATTTCATGGACATCTTCCAAAAGATTGGGTATCTTCGGAACTTTATCAAAAGACATCTAATCCTAGGCCAACCTACCAACCAAATCAAAGGCCCCCAAGGAAAGCACAAAAATATCGCCCCTACGACATCTCAGAAATCACTGCAAGACTCTTCAAACCTTTAGGAATTGATGTTGCACACAAACCAACAAAATCACTTCACTCAGCTGGCTCTATGTCAACCAAAAGACTCAACAACGAAAGAAGATAAAACCAACATCATCTACAAAATAAGTTGCAACGACTGCGAAAAACACTACATTGGCCAAAGTGGACGTCCCCTTCGTCTTCGTATCCATGAACACAAACTAGCCGTCAAAAGACATGACATCCAGTTTCTCATATTACTGTATACAGACAACCAGAGATATCAATTCGACTGGGACAACGTTCAAATATTAGACAGAGGAAACACCAAGAATGACAGAAAATCGTTAACTAATAGACACACTGACATAGACAAAATTTACCAATTGATAATAAAGAAATCTCATACACGTAGGGTCGAACTTCAGGTCGAGGAAACAATCAATGACAATATCAATGCAAGTATCCGAGAGGGTGTGAAAGTACACAAGAACAAGGAATCACATTGAAGATCAGGTCACCAGGAGAGATGACTAATAAACTCGTGGAGAAATCTTAGAGCTCACTTCAACAAATTGAAGTACGCAATGAAGACATTGCCTAGTAGGGGGCAATGGAAACTTCGCAAATAAGCCATCCAGCTCAGAGGATATAACTACATCATTATAGAGAGAGTACTGGGTAGCTGTCTCGTCCCTGTTAGGAGCTCTTCATCGCTACACATGCATGACCGCACTCGCACAAAGTCGAAGTTAGGGGAAATCGTAGACCCTTCAGCCACTATGACGGAATTTAATAGCTCATAGATTCTAATGTATGCTAATTAGTGACGTTATAGCTCGACTGCACGAGTCAGTATCATCGGAGAGTATTCATCTTCCCACCCGTATATATTATGTTTGCTGAATCTTTACAGAAGAATGAGGTTGGCATATATTGAACGCTTGGTAATTTTCTAGTAGATTTCCACCTGACGCAAAACTGCTACTTTCGAGAAGGCTCACACACATTTGATATAGGAAATGTGTATTTCCAAACGAGCAAGTAGGGGTTACCGTAATTACATATATATATATATATATATATATATATATAATAGCACTGACCACATTGCAATTGGAAATTCGGATCTTATTTTTCGTGCTGAGTGCTGTTCATCTCCACAGAGACTTGAGAGTAGTGAAAGTTTGCCTTACTTTTCCGATCCTCGCTTTGATATCCTCATCACTTTCGTCCTCCTGTAGTCGAAACGATGCTTCCAAAGTAGGTAGGTAAACGAAGTTGCTCCTTTCAGATTTCTCTCGTTTATGCTGACTGTTGTTTGTTGTTGTTACTGTTGGCCGGGAATCTTCATCACCTGTTTTCTCTATGTTCACCTGAAGTCCTATCTTCCCTGAATGCTTCTTCTGCCAACCTGTTGCTTTTCACTTGGATATCTTCCAGTTTTTGTGAAATCAGACAAATATCATCGGCGAAATCCAGATCCTCCAAGTCTTTTCTTGCGTGGGTCCATTTTATGCCTATCTCCTCGTTGCCCGCTGTCTGCCGCATTATCCAGTCTATCGAAATCAAGAAAATCGCTGTAGATAGTAGGCAGTCAGCCAGCTAGCCTTGTTTTACTCTCGTCTTCACTACTTCGAAGGATTCCATGAGTTTCCTGTTGTGGATTACTTGACATGCAGCATTATCGTACAACTGTTGGATGAGGTGTATAACTGTTGGTGGCACCCCGTAATAGCGAATTAGTTTCCAAATATCTGCATATGTTTCCTATTATTATTATTATTATTACTATTGGCTAAAGTATTCATTGATTTATTTGTCAGTAAATCTTTCCCGCCTTTTTTCTCTTATCGTTTGTCTGCTTTTTGTTGTTGTTTAAAACAATTAATACAATGATTTGTAGGTCAATAAATATCGATCTTGTTTTTATGTATATGTGTGTTTTAATTAATTGTTTTATAGCCCTCAGATGTGTAAGTGTATAACTTATATGAATTACTATTGAATATTGAAACATAGAACTAATATGAATCCTGAGAGCGGGGGGTGGAGTGCTTAAGCCTCGATGAATTGAAAAAGAAATTCGGCCTTCTAAAAATGTGTGGTGTTTGTGAAGTGTTTTACGTGATGGTGAATACCATAACTCATTGGAGTGTACTAAATAAAGTTAAAACGCGCGTCTCCTTGATTCTACTGGTGTAACCATCACAAATTATGTAACTTTAAGCTATTAGTTGGAGAATTTCATCATGAGCTGATATCAGTTAGAGAACCATTGGAAAACCAACAGGGAGTACTGGAAGGCTGTTCCGTACTAGCTTTGGGACTCTAGCAGTACTCTCTCACAACCAGGGTTCGAACCCAGGCCCTTCTGGATACAAGGCGAGCTAGCTCGTAGACCATTAAGTCACTGGGACCCGATCCAATGGCCAGTCTATGAATTCCAACTTCTGCCAATTGATGACATAGCTCGACCACTAACCAATGTCTTCTCTAGCAAGTATTTAGCCTCACCACCCGACCTGCTGCTGTACCCTACTGGTCACGACTTCCCACTAGAACCTGAATAGAGCCAGTCGCTAGTGAGCATCTCATTGAAATTCAAGTATTATAATGTATTTCATCCTCTACTCGTATCTAAATTTATTTTCCTTTTTCTTTTTTGTTTTTATAAAAATTTAGCATTTGATGTTATGTGTATGTCAATGCTTCAAGTATTCTGGTCCCTGATACTATTCAATGCTTTCTTGCATCGATTATATGGACAAATTATTTTTGTATACATAATGCATATGGGATTAGCTGCTTTAGTAAGTATGAATTTGGTTAATTTTATTTTGGTAAACTGTCCTCGTGCTTTGAATTCCTTGTGGGGAATATCAAGCTTCAGGTGTACATTGCCATTTCATTCCGTTGTCTACATTCCTTTTTAGCTCTGGCTCCAGGACTGCCGATAACGTTCTATTTCCTCATCGTACAGCCACCTCCAGGTTACCCTCAGACGATGCCTAAATCGTCGTTTTTAATAAGTGTTACACCAAAAAGCGTGACGCGTAGTGTCACACGGCGTGTATCCGATACATCCATCTCCAGGATGAACAGGTACCACGAAAACAGTGACTAACTGACTGGCTGGTTTCAACAGAAAACATTGCACAGATGTGCACTATTTCGAGTTGCCACAGTCCCTCGATATAGCACACAAAGCAAGAGAAGGCAGTAAAGGAAGATTCAAAACAGAGCGAGAGAGAGACAATAAACGGAAGTGTGAGTGAGGCAAAAAGAATAGTAATATGGAAGGACAATAGAATTTCATTGGAAATTATAAATCACAAAGAGTGAGTGAATGCATCTGCACCAGCCATTGAGAATAACAATTTTCAGCCAACTCACCGATTGGTTCTTAACATCCTGAGGACCCCAACCAGTCAGCCAGCCAGTGTACACCTCCCTACGTGGCTGGCTCAAACTAACTGTTGTAGATCTCATTGACTGATGAATCCATGATTCCCTTTGACCACCACTAGCTCCCTCTTTTCCAAGCTAGGGATGCGTGCATAACACACCTCCTAACCACCTCAATCGGTGTAACGCCACGACCTCGTCGATTGATTTCCCCTCCTTACCTCGCCTACCACTCGATCAAAGCCTCACCTCAACATTGCTCATCCTATTACACCTACCACACTTCACACAGGAGATAGCACGCAGACACCTATTATCAAAGACTGCTAGCCGGCGTTTTGATGTCTCCCACTTTCAAACGTCATGCCTCACCACAGCTAGCCATAAAGGAGGAGGGAGTGGACTGTTGAGCAGTACACACCACACGTCCTTTAGTCGACAACTGGATATCACGTCTGTATTTCTCCTACTTTCTTCTCTTCCTTTGTGTGCTACATGAAGTGTGGCGACTTGAACTGCCGCACATATGTGCAAAGTTCTATGTCGAAAACCGACCGACCGACATGACGTCTACTAAACCAGAGATGGAGTAATTTAGCTGAGAAATACCAAACGAGCCTTCTGCATCCGTGCTGATATTTCGTCAGTGATCAACCCGCTGGCACTGGCCAGTGCAACTCCTCAAATAAGTGAAGTGGTCATCACGCTCCACTGGTCACTTCACTCCTGCTTATCTTTAAGCTAGGAATAGTCAATGTAGTGCAGTCATGTTGCATTATCTTACATTTAATGGGGTGAATCGCATGCCAAACATTCGTAGATTGCTGCTCAGCTCAAGGTGTTCAGGAGACTCGGCATTTCGTCAGCGTCTTTACCTAGTTGGGAGGATTATATCATCTGCATATTTTAAGTCAACGAGATAATTCCCTGATGGCAACAAGTCAATCTCTGAATCGCTGAAGTCGGTTAGGGTTAATTCCATTAGTACATCTATGATTTGTAAGAATCGATGACGGCTGCTGACTATTAGAGATAATGCTCAAAATCGTCGTTGTCAGTGGCTGGTGCAGATGCATTCACTCAATCCTTGTGATTTATAATATCCAATGAAATTCTATTATCCTTCTATATTACTATTCTTTTCGCCTTATTCACACTTCCGTTTATTGTCTCTCTCTCTCTCTCTCTTTTGAATCTCTCTACTGTCTTCTCTCGCTTTGTTTACTACATTAAGGGAGAGTGGCAACTCGAACTAGTGCATATCTGTGCAAATTTCTACGTTGAAACCAGTCAATCAATTTCTTCACCTGTTATGTCATGCATTCCTTAGTATTTTCGTCATCATCCCCTTGGTTCTATTTGTTGGTTGCCTGACCGCAATGGGTTATAAGTGCATCGGCTGTTCAGTTCCTGAATCCTGGCTAGCCATGCACATGTTCTAGGATTCAAACCACCCACCCACCCCCACCGACGCAATCCTGAACCCTTCCTAGCAAGTAGTGAGCAGGGTAGAGAAGGAAGGCTGGTTGTGAGACTAGTAACTCGACCCCATGAAATCACCAGCAACGTTACTGAAACTTGAAAAGCTCAGGCATGTTCCACTCGGAACTCATTGTCTGAAGGTTAATGATATTGAGCAGTTCCCCAGGTTGAATTATATAAAGAAAGATCGGAACCCCAAGATATATTGGCCTAAAGTTGAGTACTCAAGCTATTGGATATAAATTCAGTGTATTGTTCATTGATGTGTAAATAAATATGTAATATAGTTGAAAAAGAAAAGTCCCCTTCGCTGAATTAATGTAAGTACTATTCCCAGTGGGATATAGGGTGTCTAAGGTTTCATTAGTGATTCTGCTTTTTTACGCGGAGGATTAACTAGTCTCACTCATTATCTCCTGTCCTCTCAGGGCTTACTGTCAACTAATAAACTAGACTCGTATCAGTGACGAATCTGATCAGGTGAACGATCTACCACTGAACCATTGATGCATTAGGAATGTCACAGTACTGCTAATTTCTGCGTCCAGATACTGATACTGATCACTTCCGAACCCCAGAGCCGATGAAAGTGAGAACAAACAGGTTGGTGACTATGAAAAGAAGTTTATAAACTGGGTTTAGTGACTTTTTATCACTGTACTTTTAAATTATTTCACTTACATGTTTTTTTATCGGATTTTTGGAGGCTCGGACTAATTTAATTTCAATTATTAGTTTTTTTCGTGAACCAACATTACTTAGTGAGATGATTGTAGAACCAGGGAACAGTGGACAGTTGTTTCGTCCATTTTTGTGACTCTTCAGCACAAGTGAACAAAGTTAGAATTCTCAGGTCATTGAATTCCAGCTGAAGTGGTTGAATAATCAACGAGCTTGGCTTTTCAATTTGAAGGTTTCTGGTCGGGTCTTCAGTGCACATTGCTGAAGACTCGTGAGAAAGCAGGACGAGACAGTTAGTTGTTCAGTGATCTCTCCAGCTGATGTTAGTTCGTTATGAAATCTAATAATTGGAATAAACCTATGTCGTATTTCAGAAATTTCATGCATTTATTCCCCTTTTAATGAATTTGAATAAAGCGAGAACAACAGCAGTTTTTGCAGAATAAGGTGGTACCATCATTGCTTATTTCGTTGGCTTCTCATCAGCTGCTTACAGCCCAAAAACATCAATAAGTATACCTACAAAAACAATTTTAACATACTAGCACAGAGTTCATTTTTAAGCAAAAAAATCAGCATATGCATGCAATAACAATACATAATAATAAGCACTATCCGAAACAATAATAATCACACACAATGGAATCTCTCGGCATTACGTAATCAGATGAAAGAGAAGGTGAAGACATTCAGTTACCAAGTGGGCAAGAAAAGACTGATAATGGCTTCTTTCTGGACGCATAAATGGGGTTTTAGGCGCTTGATAGAGATTGCTTTGGCAAACCTAAGGAGAATTGAATTATCTCTCTCATCTGATTACGTAATTTAAAACAATTAGTTCCCTTTATGAATTTAGATAAAGCAATAAGAAGACGTAATTTGTCTGAATCGTGTAGTGTATTTGCGCAACACATTTCGAACAATCTGATAACACACGGACTTGTCATAGGAATATATATGAAATTAATAAAGAGTTAAGAGGTGAGAAGACAGACAAGTTAGGTCTAGTTAAAAGGACATATTGAAGGTCAAAATAATAATGAAGACCACTAAACCAAATAGCAGAGGTAATAGTACATCTGCTATGGTATCAAAACAAAATTTACCAAGGAAGGTTTAATGTGATGGCGAGTTGTTTTTGAACGCATAAAGGTGGCTTAAACTTTCTAATTGCTAGGGCTTCCACAAACTTTAGGATACGCCCCAAACACGTTTTATAGATAGGTTTAAAAGATCTGTTAAGGTCAATTTTATATCCTGTCTCTATAATATGTTTCGCAATAGAAGAGCCAGGTCTCCTGTTCTCACCGTCAATAGGTTCTGAAGATTCCATTTGTTTCTGGAGCCATTTAGGAATGCTCTGAAGCCAGCCCTTACTTGCAGAGATGGATGAGTCCTCCCTATGTATGTGTGTCCACACGTACATTCAACTTGGTAAATACAGTGGGATGTGACGTCATTTTTCGCGTGTTCGAAGGGCTTAGATGGATATATTGGCTTTACATTCTCAAATATGATGATCTTAACTGCATAAAAAGTCTTTTTGACAGCAGCGTTCAGTCTTTGTCTAGTTATCAAGCTGCTTTGATGCTCCATATAGGGTAGCTTGATGTACACGTCTTTCTTAGCGATGAGTTGGAGAGTGGGTCTTGGTGTTCCACTGACTACTTTATATCTCCTGATGAACTTGTCTAGATTGTTATCAACCAGAGTTTGTGTCAACTTTCTTTCTTCTTCATCAAGTGTGTCTTCAGTGCATATTCGTTGGATTCTACTGAAGAGGCACCTTACTAAGGCTCTTTTGTAATGTCGAAAGTTTCCATTGTGTACGATCGTCACTGTTCAGGATAAAGTGTTTGTTATATATTATTATTGTATGCATATACTGGTTGATTGATTGATTTTTGTTTGAAAATGAACTCTGTGTAAGTTTTTAAAAATTGTTTCTGTAAATATACTTAATAATGACTTCGGCCTGTAATCAGCTGATGAGAAGCCAACGGACGAAATCAAAACTGATGGTATCATTTTATTCTGCAAAACCTATTGTATTGGTATTTTGTTTCTTAATTCTTAGTTAACATCTTTCTTTTTCATTTATATATATATTTATTCATTTCAGTCATTGATGAATTCGTTTACCACGCCATTCCCAGAATTGGTTTGTACAATGTATGCCATTTCATTAGTTGGAATAATTGCATTCTCATATATTCAATTTCATAAAGGATCATCTACTTAGGAGGATAACTATGATTAACTATGATTCAGTTTTCCTTGTTATCTCCTACTCATAAGATCGATCATATTTCTGTACAGTTAAACAACATAAAGAAAGCCAACAAAAAAATCACACACACGAAAGAATCCCGGTTGTGACCGAACTCTTCTTCGATGAATTACTTTCTTAAGTATATCCTGTCAAATATAATGACGAACACATTAATGAATTAATGATCTTTATCAAAAACGGTGATAATAATAATGATTATTTTAAGAATCCCTTTTTATGTATACACAAATTTCTTTTCTAAAACTTGCATTTGCGCGTATTTTTACTCTCATAACTTTTTTTAAAATTCTTATACTTATTGTATTGTCGTGTCCTCTGTATCTTCATACATTTCAAATAAATCAAATTTTTCCAGTACAAAAATGAACAAATTTTCGTGTTTTTTTGAATATTTTTTTTACTCCTTTACGTTCCTAGTGGAACATGAAAGGGGCTTCAAGTTTTGGTAACAGTGGTGTTTATTAATTTTTTACGGTATGGGGTGGTTGCTAGCCTCAACTAGGCCAACCCAATTCCCTCTTCACCAGTCTTATTACCGGCTTAGTGAGGTAAATAAGGATTGTGTTGGTGGCTGGGGATCGAACACGGAACCACATGGGGTGGTGTGGTTGGCGAGCATTCTGCCGCTGTGCCACTGATGCAAAAATGTTTGTGTAATTTTTATTAGCATTAATTACAATCGTGTAAAATAAGGAATAATTGGTATTCTCTATAGGATGGATGATTTCAGCGGGAATCGTATTAGAAGGTAGGATCCCTTAGCCTTATTGGATTCTGTTTCATTGGCTTTGGGTGGTCAGCAGGTTGAGACCCTCTTAACGTTAAGGTCCTGGTGTAACGACAGAAGAGAAGGGCCAGGGAATAGATCGTTTATTGAGAAAATCAACATATATTTTATAGATTTTTATGTACATTATTGTCAATGGAGAAGCAACGTCTTCTGACTGGTTGTTTTCTTGCTGAAGTTTATTCTGTAATGCTTGTGACCGTTTCTTAGAAAGTTAAGTCGTATATCTTCGAATCGTATTTGTACAAGTTAAATCTGCTGTGATTGGTTGGTGAGTTCGTCAAGGTTAAGCTTTGCTATTGTTTTTTCGCATGACCTCGATTTGGGTTGTTATTATTATTATTATTTAAACGCAGAAAAACTTGGTACAATATGGCACCAAGAAAGATGCGCCACACAATATTGTGTGAGGGCTGAGATACTGCCCGGGTGCCCAGACCGAAGCAGGTGGTTCTCCTAAGGGGACCACCACCCGAGCCTTTGACTTGGAGTCTAATCCGCAAGGCAGCGGAGCTGCGTTACCATGGTTGCCGGTGACCCATATGGGTTCATACGCCATTTGATCCGATTGAATTCTGGAGCCCATGTACCCCATGGTAACTGCTTTTAGTCTAACCGCTATCCAAACAACCTTCCTGACATGGTAGGACCTGCAGGGACATGAGTCCCAGCCAGTTTAGCTTGTTGGGTCACTGCGGCATTCAAACCCGACCACCACGGCAAGGTAGCAGTTATCGGTCGGGGATTTGGGTTGTAAACATTGACGTAAATTGTTGTCTACAATTTTGGCTTGCAGACAGCTCTCTCACCACACTGTGATCAATCTCCGGTGGTGAGCTAAGAGACTACCCTAAAGCTGACTGGGTTCAACAGAAGATACTTTGCACATGGAAGTGTAGCAGTTCAAGTTGCTACATTCCATTTAGTACACATGCGTAGAGCAAAGAGAGATAAAAAGAAGGTTCGAAAGGATGGTAATAAGCAGAAATATTGAGAAGGAAGAATAGTACCATGGAAAGCCAATAGGGCTTATTGGATATGGCAGACCACAAAAGGTGACTGCATCTGTGGGACGGTTCCATCAGACTGGGGTAAGTCACTTATTATACCAATATTCAAGAAGGGAGACAAGTCCTCATGTGATAATCATAGGGGAATCAGCCTAACAAACATAGCCTATAAAATCCTAGGCTCAGTAATCATGAACAGACTAAGCCGAACTCGGGAGGAACAAACGAGGGAAAATCAAGCGGGCTTTAGGCCAGGTAGAGGGTGCATAGATCATATCTTCACTCTCCGACAGATCCTAGAACATAGACACACTTTTAGGCGTTCAACAATTGCCATATTTCTTAACTTGAAGGCGGTCTTCGACTCCACGGATCGAAAGGTACTATGGCAATGTTTGACTGTGAAGGGAGTGACAAGAAAGTACATTGCACTAATCAAAGCACTCTTCTCAAACTCAAGTAGCCGTGTGAGGGCTTATGGGGAATTGTCATCTGAGTTGAAAACAACCAGTGGGGTCCGTCAAGGATGTACACTTTCTCCTTTTCTGTTTAACTTCATCATAGATATGCTAATGGAAGTATCCTTAACTGAACTTAACGACTTAGGAATCGACTTGTTACCAGGGAATAGTCTTATAGACTTAGAATATGCAGATGACATAGTCCTGTTAGGGGAGGATGCTGACAAAATCCAGCAGAGTCTTCTGAACACCTTGAACAGCAATCTTCGTATGTCTGGCATGCGATTCGCCCCAGTAAAATGTAAGATGTCGCTACAGGACTGGACTACGTCAACTCCTAGCTTAGTGATAGGGAGTGAAGTGATAGAACATGTTGATCACTTCACCTCTTTGGGAAGTTGTATCTGCACCAACGGATTGATTGGTGACGAAATCTCAGAACGGATCCAAAAAGCTCGAGCAGCTTTCGCTAACTTACACCGTCTCTGGCGTAGGCGTGACATCCGGCTATCAACCAAGGGACGTGTATACTGCTCAGCAGTTCGCTCCGTCCTTCTCTATGGCTCTGAAACATGGCGAATACGAGTTGAAGACATGGAAAGGTTGACTGTTTTTGATCATAGATACCTACGATCTCTTTCCCACATTAGGTGGTATACTAAGGTAAGTAATGTTGACGTTATGCGTACAGTGTTGGGCAAAGAGGGAAAATCAGTCAAAGAGGCTATAAAGTTACACAGATTGAGATGGCTAGGTCACGTGCTGCGCATGCCTAACCATCGTCTCCCCCGACGGACGGGCATTACTAGCTGATATAGGTGCAGGTTGGAAAAGAGTAAGTGGTGGCCAAACAAAAACATGGCATCAATCAATCCATGAAATCCTTGACAGTTAAACTGAGTCAGGTAGGGAGATGCAGACTTCCGGGTTGGGGCCCGCCCTCGGGACTCTAAGAATCAATGGCTGGAGACAGACAATAGGTGACATGGCTCAAATTCGTTGTCAATGGCTTACGCAGATGTATTCAGTCTCTGTAATCTTTCATATTCCTTTCTACCATTACTCATTCTGTTTCACTCTTATACTTGTCAAAACTCTACTGATTCTCTTCACTCATTTTCTTGTCTACGTTTGTGTGCTATTTGGAACGTGGCAACTCGAACTGCTGCACTTCGGTGCCAAGTTCTATGTTGAATCCAGACAGACAGACTGCATCTGCGCCATTGAGCCAGCTATGGTCTCCCTCAACTCCAAGGAGTTAGGGGTATGTTTGAAGAGGTCGACGTCGAAAGCTGTATATATCCTAACTCTTACCTTCCGATTGTAAGATCATAATATGGATATAGCTCCAAAATCCGCTTCAAATAGTTATCCTCTAGGCTCTGTAGTCATGTGGCACTGAAACCCCAAGAAGAAATCCAATTTCGAAGTACGGGCTAGCAGAAAGTGATGACCGCCTACTCGCTTCCATGAGCACATAAGTCCTTCCCTCCTAAGCACTAATTCTACACTCCTAACTAAGATCTATGCATTCTGTGAACTATTTTACGCATTGCATAACCTGTTTTGACGTTTTAGGTTTAACTGTGATTGTAATCTAAACAAATAATATTCTTACTAAACTTGAACAAAGCAATAATGATAAAAATCTTCTCATTCACCTTTATTACTGTCGGTGAGTCCCAAACTAGGATGAAACAGCTGTCCAGTACTCCCTAGTCTTCAATGGTTTTTTAACTGGGTATCAATCCGTGGTCTGGTCTGAAAATGATTCTTGAAAATACCTGATAATCGTTCACTAACAGTACTTTTGTGTCTACACCATACCATCGTTATTATTTTATGATTATTATTGTTATTTGTTAACCTTGAACTTATGGTTGGCGTGTATGCCATTTATTAGTGTATTTCTCTTTAGTATTCATATTGCCTATCTCAAACCACTGACTAAACTCACCCCTTGAAACCTGTACTTTTATTGACTATTAAGTAAGCAGAAACACACACACATCACTGAATTATTTCATTTTATCTCATTCTTATTGATCAGACAATACACTTCCTAATATAATTCTAGTTTATCTATTCTAGCTATTTTATACTAAAATCAATGGATTTAAAGATTTCACGATTTCATCGTGAACACTGACATCGGTTAGAGGACCATTGGACAACCTGCGAGGGAGTACCGGACAGCTGTTTCGTCCTAGTTTAGGACTCTTCATCAGTATGCACCCACTGAAGTTCAAACCCAGGAACTTCTGGTTATCGGGCGATCTCGAAGACCATTCAACCACTGAGACACAACCCAATGATCCGTAACTTCCAACTTCTGCTAATTTGCCATATTTAGCGCAACTCTGCCAGACAAGGCCACATAGGCAAGTGATTGTTCTCTTTCCGCTGTTGCACCATATATCGCTCATTGGCGGAAATTGGAATTCATGAAGCATGGAAATGGCTCCTAGTGGGTAAATTGTCTACTAGCTCGCCTCACCAGAAGGTCGTGCGTTCGAACCCAGTGAGTTAGTATTGTTGCAAAGTGAAACGAGACAACTATCCAGTAATCATGAAAAATACCCATTTATTCATATGTAAAAACACAGTTTTTTTGTTCCGCGAAGAAATTTCTTTTCAACGACTTCATTTTCAAGGTGTACAGTCGTATTTATATTACAGAAAAAGGTTGCT